TTGTTTTGAGCTTGTGTAGCTCCTCTCGTAGTTGATATTTGGCAATGATGATGATTAGCGTTTACTGAGATTGCAATTCAACTTACATTGTTTATTATATTCAGATGAGGCAAACGAGAATGAGATTGCAGCCTACATTGAATTGACAATGTCTAGGCGAGGCAATTCATCCTTATAATGCAATCTGTAATAAACATGTAAGTTATAGGTGGGGCAATTATGACAAGTTGATCTATTACTGAGCCATACAATATCAATTAGAATTTATACCCAATTCAAACAACAGTTTTTCATTACAACCTCAATAGTTTTGCAAGTACAAGTGCATGACATGCAGTTTATAATAATTAAAATAATACAAAAAATGCTAATAAAATTGCTGAAAGTTTCCAAGCTAGTAGTTGATTTCCGACAAGTCTCAATTCTTTCTTCAGCCTCTTTGATTGCAAAATATATTTATCTCCGTACCTATTTTCTTTGACATATTGGCTTCCTTGGTTGCTTGGGTCTCCTCTTTCATCAGCCCATTCGAAAAAAATTATATTCTTTATTTGGGAATTTTGCACACCCCCAATAACACCTTCCCTTATTTTTACCATTCTTGCACACTTTCATTGGTGTTCGGAGATTGCAGTCGCAATAAACTTCATAATTTTGGTAGCAATCTTCTCATATCATTTTGATGTCTGGGATCCAAATTGCAGACAATGGGAATTTATAAATTGCTGAGAAATGAGAATGCATGGATTAATTTGAGGCCTCAAGGTGAATTTATAGCCACTATGACACTGAACTAGCCGTTTCTACAGTGCTTGAAGCTTTGAATTTTGAAGAGGGTGGAAATAGCCGTTGCTACAGTGGAAATAGCCGTTGCTACAGTGATTATCCCTAAAAAATTTCATTCTGAACCAAACATGATATTAGGAATTGGAGGGTTTTCTATAAAAGTGAGATTCTTTTTTTCTTTGTGTGAAACAAACATAGAATCCAATAAAAATAGGATTCTTTCTATAAAAGTGAGATTCTTTTTTTCTTTGTGTGAAACAAACATAGAATCCAATAAAAATAGGATTCCATAAAATTAAAACTTGTCTATAATTTTTTTATGGATTAGGTTGGAATGCATAAATAAAATAGGATTCCTAATCCTATTCCTAACCTCTATTGAACCAAACAGCCCCTAAGAGTGATCATATATAGGGGTGTCCAAAAAGCCCGGAGCCCGGGCCCGGCCCGGTGTCCGGCCCGGGTCCGGGCCCGGGCCCGGGTCGTCGTTGGCGAGCCACGTCCGGGCCCGGGCCCGGAACACAGCTGCCGAAAAAAGGCACTGTGGCTTCGAATGGCCGGGCCCGGCCCGGCCCGGCCCGGCCATAACGTCACAACGTGACCGTTGACCCCCGGTCCGGGCCGGGCCGCCCGCCCGCGTTCGGGCCGAACGGTCACAAAAGTGACCGTTTGCCGGGCCGGGCCTGCGGGCTAACCCGGCCCGGCCCGGCCCGGGCCAAATCTGGCCTAACGGCCAGATTTGGTCTTTTGACCATTTTGCCCCTTAAAACGGTCAAAAAACGGCTAAAAATCGAGGGTTTTTTTGGTCATTTACCTAGGGGGCTGCTTCTATAAATAGAGGGGGGTTTCAATTCATTTTCTCACAACAAAACTCATCTATTTCTCTCTCTACTACTCTCTTATACAATCTTATACCATCTCATACTAATATACTTATATACTATCCTATAATCTTTTGTATTTTCTAATACTTCCAACAAATGGCTTCTGGGTCTGATTATGAAGAGCAACATGCAACTCCTACCGATCCAGAGATGAGTCCTCCTACAACAACTCCTCATCCTACCGGTGTTAATCCTGAATCTGGTGGTGACGAATCTACGGCACCAAGAGCTCCAAAAAGGCCGAGGTCTGATGTATGGAATTTTTTTGAGAAGATAGACGTCACCAAGGATGAACACGGTAGGATCATCTCTCAGAATGCGAAATGTGCGTTGTGCGGCCAGATATTCAAAGCTCATCATAAGAGCGGCACCAACCATCTCAAACGGCATATTGAAAAACACAACAAAGGCCAAAATCTACAAGGTGATATCCGGCAGTCTATGCTTTCCCAATCATCCTCTTCAGGTACCCTCGGCAGTTGGAATTATGACGCTGCCCGAGCCCGGAAATGCGTAATCAGGTTTATTGTTCTTAAAAACCTTCCTTTTAAATTAGTAGAAGATGATGAATTTGAAGATTTATTTAGAGATGGTTTTTATCCTGCATTTACAAAATTTTCTCGTCAAACCTGTCAACGTGATATTTTAAAATATTATGTTGAGGAACAGGGAAAAATAATTTCTTATTTTAAAAATTTAAACTGCAAATTTTCTTTAACTTCTGATATTTGGTCATCTAGAGTGCAAACTGGTTATTTATGTATAACAGCACACTGGATTGATGAAAGTTGGAAAATGTTTAAAAGAGTTGTTTCTTTTATTGCAATTGAAGAGTCACACACTGGTATTAATGTTGCAAATTTAATTGTTGAAGAACTTATGAAACTAGAAATTGATCAAAGAATATTTACTCTTTCACTAGATAATGCAAGTAATAATAATGTAGCTGTTGATTTTCTGAAAATAACTTTGTCATTGCCATGTCATGGTGAGCTTTTTCATGTTAGATGTATCTGTCATATTTTAAATTTAATTGTTCAAAGTGCATTTTCTGAAATTAAACCCATGATAGAAAAAGTTAGAACAGTTACTAATATGCATAATGCTTCTGAAATGAGAATTAAAAGATGGAAACAATGTTGTAAAAGAAAAAATTATAAGCCTAGACTAATTCCAAAAGATGTTGACCATAGGTGGAATTCCACCTATGCAATGTTATCTGTAGCAATAGAATATAAAGAAATTATAAATGATTTTATAAATTTTTATGCTTCTAGTTCTAGCTCTGGTAGTGCTTATGGAATAACTGAAGATGAATGGACAGTTATATGTAAATTAAATGAGATGTTACAAGTTTTTTATGATGCTACTATGTTATTATCTGGTTGTTATTATCCAACTATTACTTTAGCTGCTTTACAAATTTTAAATATTCAAAAATTTTTTGCAAAATATCGTATGGATGATACTTTTGGAAATATAATTTTTCAAATGGAGAGTAAATTTAATAAGTATTTTAGGCCTATTCCTCATATTTTTGGTATTGGTGTTCTTATTGATCCATGCTTGAAGGAAATTGGCCTTCGAAGTTTGTTACAATCATTGTATGGTGGACAGATTATAGACTTAGATGATGGATCCACCCTTACTGCTACTACTCATTATGTAGCTATTAGAAATTATTTTCAAACCTTATATGATGAGTATGCAGCTAGATATGGTGTAGCTACACAACAGTCTTCAGCTTCGGCACCTTCAGCTTCGAGCACAGGTCGAGGTAAAAGTGTAAGTTTTGATAGGTATGCAATGGTAGCTGAACTAACTGGTGGATCTGGAACTTCATCAGGATTAGAGGTTTCTGAAATAGACGAATATTTATCTGCTTCCTTAGTTAAATGTCAAGGAAATGCTTTAGATATTTTGCAATGGTGGAAAGTATATGGATCAGTTTCATATCCTATACTTTCCACCATGGTTCGTGACTTACTATCAGTGCAGGTTTCGACTGTAGCCTCGGAATCCGCTTTCAGCACAGCAGGACGTTTGATCGACGACCACAGGACATGCTTAGATCCGTATACTGTACAAGCGGTGATGTGCTTACAGGATTGGTGGAGATACGAGAAGCGAACACAAGGCATCGAACGGATTGCTATGATTGAAGATAAATTTGAAGAGTTAGGACTAGCAGATAGATATAATGATTAGATAATATTCATAAAATTGTAATTTTGTTTTCTTAGCTTTAAATTTGAATTAAATTATTTCGAAAAAAGTTGCATATGATAGTGATATGGGTGAGTAGGTGCCAACCTAGTTGGGATGTACTCATCTATTGTGATGCGACGAATTTCGAAATAAATTTATACTTGTAAAGGATTTGTAAAGGATTTACCGATTATTAATAAAGAAGTTATTTTTATCATTTTTTGTACTTGTAATTTATGTCATTTCATTTCAAGCTATTAATTAAATTTATGACATTTTTTATAATAATTTATGGTTTATGGTTTTGTTAAAATTAAAAAAAAAAAAATTCTAAAAAAAATCAAACCGGGCCGACCCGGTGTCCGGCCCGCTCAGGCCCGGGCCCGGGCCCGGGCTTGGGTTTTGCCCGGCCCGGGCCCGGTTTTCCGGGCCGGGCTGGACCGGGCCGGCCCAGATGGACAGCCCTAATCATATAAAAGTGGGCAAGAAAACCATGATTATGATGACTTGCATACTGATCAACTCTCCAACAATATGCTCTATTGAACAATTCAGCAAATATACTCTCATTCTATAATTGCAGGACAAAGACATATCTAATAATTACAATGGTCAGCTATATATATATTTTATATAATATAGAAAAATGAAAGTTGGATAGACTAAAAATTATTATGCCACCCTCAAATTATCTTAATCAAACCAGAAGTTAAAAATAGTAGAAAGAAGAGATGGAAGGAAATTAGAGAAAAGAAACGGCTGATCGAAAAGGGGGAAAAACGAACAGACATTGGTGTTATTTATTATATTTTTATCTTTTGATTTGGGCTTGTATATTTTCTATGGACTAGACACGAAACTTACCACAAGCTACAAGATAATACAGGGCCCAGCCCGAATGAGGCCCATCAAAGGAAACCCTAGACCACACCCCATAAATACCCTACTATCTCCTCTTCTCCCTCATCTCGCGCCGGCTCTCTGAACTCCTTGCTCTCAAAACCCTAATCCTTAATCTCCACTCAGATCCATGGCTGAAAGAGGCGCAGGAGGTGACCGCAGGCTTCGGGCCCGCGTGGCGCGCTGCGACCGAGGCCGCGGCGGCCGACGCGGCGGCGGCCGCCGTGACGAGCGTGAAAGCGGACAAGATCCACAGCCTCGAGGAGATCTACCTCCACTCTCTCGCCGTCAAAGAGCACCAGATCATCGAGAAGCTATGCCCTAATCTCAAAGACGAGGTCATGAAGATCATGCCGGTCCAGAAGCAGACACGTGCCGGTCAGAGGACCCGGTTCAAGGCCTTCGTCGTCGTCGGAGACGGCAACGGCCACGTCGGATTGGGGGTGAAGTGCGCCAAGGAGGTGGCGACGGCGATCAGAGGGGCCATTATTTTGGCTAAGCTGTCGGTTGTTCCGGTGAGAAGAGGGTACTGGGGGAACAAGATTGGGAAAGTTCACACTGTGCCTTGTAAGGTGACTGGGAAATGTGGGTCGGTGACGGTGAGGATGGTGCCGGCACCGAGAGGTTCTGGGATTGTGGCGGCGAGAGTGCCGAAGAAGGTGCTGCAGTTTGCTGGGATTGATGATGTGTTTACGAGCTCAAGGGGGTCGACTAAGACCCTGGGAAACTTTGTCAAGGTTTGGTCTTTAACTTGTTTTCGCAGTTCATTGATTTTCTGGTAAGTTGTAAGCTATTAGTAGGATCTATTGTTCTTATAATGGCTATGCATTTTTAGCTAGCTTATCTATTTTTAGCATAGTACTCGTATAAATTGTACTGATTTCATAATTGATTAGAAGAACTCCATTTGACTTTTTTTGTTGGGCAAGGTAGAAAGTTGATAATAATAAGGCCCATTAAAAAATATGGACTGGAGATATAGTGAAAGATTTTATTGTAACTATGGAATGAGATGGTTCTTTATCTTTTTCTTTGTTAGATGTTTTGGTATATATGTGCATACACCTTTGATCTTTGTTTGTAAACTGCTAGGACTTTTAAGTGTAATAAGTTTAATTATCATCTGTAATCTATAAGACTATATCAATGACTTCGTCAAAAAGAACCTAATATTGTGCAGACATTGACATTTTTTCTTTGAAATTATCTAATTATGTGTCGTCATACATTAGTTTCTGCTTTGCGGCATATTTAATCACTGATTCATTTTGATGCAATGTGAACTATGACTTAAGAAGCTTGTCTTCATTTTATAGTAGAAACAGATGATTCTGTAACAAGCTAAAGTGATGTCCTGAACAAGTTTAAGGTGACATGAAAGACTGCTTAGTAAGAATTGATTTCACCTTTTGCTTGTTCCCCTGGTTCTCACTCAATAAGTCAAAACCATCCTTTTTGCTTGTTCCCCTGATCTCTTCTTTTATTTCCATTTTTTAACTTGTGCCTGATTGATATCATGATAAAATTGTATTTGCTTATGGAACCTTTTGTTTTGTATTTGTACTAAATTTATATATGGTGCAATATCTTGCTTATTTCGCTCCGAATTTTTTTATGCCAATCTTGTTTTTCTAATTTCTCAATGAATAATACTTTGTTGGACATATTTAACATGCTGATGCTGTTGATATTTCTAAACATTAATGTGAGAAAATGGAACATGAGTTATTTCATCAATTATTTAGTCTTTCTTTTTTGCAGTTCCTTTTTTCTTTCTATGGACTTAATATTGTGGGTCTCTCTTCACTTTTGGACATCACCTTCTCCTTTCTAATGTTACGTAAATAATCCATATCACTTAGTATTTTCTTGTGTGATTGCTTATCCTAATCATTTCTCATTCCCCTTTATCCTTTCAACTCTCGCCACATATTCATCTAACAAGTAACATCCTGATACCAGCATGGTATCTAGTTTATGTTGAGTTCTGTTGTCGCCTCATTTTATGAATCATTTAAATCTGCATCCTATAAAATCCACAAGTTACTCTGTTACTTGTGAATCACGTAGTGGTTCATTTGTTCATTTTGTTAGCCTGCTCTATTCCTGTTAGATATTTCATCTCATATCTTTTAGCATGTTTTTAGAAGGTTGTCCAGTTCCCACTGAACTATTGTTTGATATAAGGTACAATTTCAGATAGGTTAAATTATTTGGTTCTCATTTTATCTTAATGGTCTCCTCATCATAACTCAGTTCATTCCCTTTTTCCTCAGAATCATATTCTTTATCATGTTTTCATTTTGGCTTCCATTACAGCCTTATGTGCAAGTTATTCTCTCCTGTTATTTTTATAAGCTTGTCATTCTCCCCTCTATCAATATTAATAATTGTCATATGCATTATTTTTTACTTGGGTTTTTTATGGGAAATGTTATCCATATATAGCAGGAAAGCATAAGTAATTGGTATTGACACTTGACCTGCTTTCACCATTAACTGAAATCTTATACTGTATGTGTATTATGCCTCGTTATTACCATCTCTTTTTTTAGTTATAACTTCTGTGTCATCTATTATTGATCATCTGTTATCTACTAAAATAGTATTGGTTAGTTTTCTTTTTCTTAATTTAATCCCTCTAAACATAATGTTTTAAAACTCTATATGCTAAAAGTCCTGATACTTATTTGGTTTCATGGCATGTTGTGGGTACCATGTAAGACACAGTTAGCAAGCTTCCAATCTACAATTTTGTTTTCTTTGGGGCTTGGAGGCAGGTCAACATTATTCCTCTAAATAGTTACATGAGATATAAATTGGTTAGATTGTATGTAAGCCTCTTTCCCAATGATTAGTTTCAAAACATATCAATCCTATATCTTTCTTCCAGTTGAAATGCAGGTAAACACTCAACAAGAGATGTTCTTTCTTGTCAACAGGACTGATCCCGTGAGCACCAACATCTTCATGGCAGCAAATTAATTTGTCTGAAAGTATTGAAATAACTAATTTCTATTATTAGCTATCACTTTATTCTTGTTATATTACACTCATGTAAAGCCCTGTGTTATTAGAATTGTTTGTCACATGTCCTTGTCCTGTATCCATGGTTGTTTCCGTAATAGATTAAACTCCATTTGCAATGTTCCAATCTGCTTATAGCTTCATATTTAGGGCTATAGAGTTTTATCCATCTTTTGCATAGATTGCATTCCTGCTGCAATTTACCAATCTGCTTATAGCTTCATATTGAGGGCTATAGAGTTCGATTCCATCTTTTTGCAACTATTGGATAGCTTCTTGTAGTGGGCACAACAAATACCAAAATTAGTTGCTATATTTGAATTGAATTATCATATAGGTTATATGAACATTATATCTTGCATGATACTGTTGAATCCTTGCCTTAATATTGAGAAATATGCTTTCCGTTAACCATTAAGGCTTGCTAATACTTTTTTTTTTATAATTTATGGTGCAGGCTACCTTTGACTGTTTGATGAAAACTTATGGGTTCTTGACTCCTGATCTTTGGAATGAGACTCGATTCCGCAAATCTCCATACCAGGAGTTCACCGATCTTCTTACGAAGCCTGTTGCATCTCTTAAACCAGTGCTTCCTGATGAAGCTGAGAGGCTAGAAGCTTAAGATATGGACAGTAGCGTCAGTTTTGTTACCGCAATGGATTCTGTTTTAGATTGTGTCTCGAACATGATATTCGTGTGATAGTACTTTTATGCTGTTAATTTTTGTTTGATCTAGGATTGCTGATGCTTATGTGTTGTCACATTTATCTATACAGTACGAGGTTTATGTTTTTCGCTAAAATGTTGAGTGGGGTTTGGTTTATTGTTCCCTTAAATTTTTTGCTGTTTCCTTAAAAATTTGCTGGTCTGTATGATATTCGTGTCTTTTAGCCAGATAGTAGATGCAATTGCTTGTTATTTTTTCATGCTGAAAATCATTTATTAATGATGCCTTTTTTGCGTTAATTGATTTTTTTTAATGTTTTTGGTCAATAGATTCAGAGGTGTGTATCTGAAAAATGGATAGCGTTCTTGTGCGTAGTCTATTGCATTGAAATTCAAGTTCTACATTTATTACTTTGTATGGGGTCTTTATTATTACCTGAGGGGCATCATGTGTAAATCACCTGTAGTGTCTGTTATGGTGTTGATTAGGGCCATGTTGCATATGTCACTGTTGTATTTTAATTTTAATTTTTTATTTTTTGATCTCGTCACAGTTGTATTTAAGGTATGTAAAAATGTGCGTAAGTTATTACCTTATTACAATTCTTATATTTATATAAAAGCGTGTAAGATGTTAAAATATTTTCTTTTGATTATACTTGTCATCATGTCCATTTATACAGGCTAGGTTTTATGGACTTGCGCACGTTGTAAAATACTATGATTAAGTATTTTTAATTTATTTCTTTATTAAAATTTGTTTCTTGGTTTTACTTTGATAGTTTTTGCTCACATATGTCTCTAAACTTTAGTATTATGATAATTTATTTATTTTAATGTTTGTTTGATTGGACTATATACATTGAATATAAGTTTGGGAAAAATGTGTCCAGGCCCCAAAAGTGGGAACTTCGTGTGACTAGCCCCCCTGTACTTTGCCTAGAGAGGATTTATTCATCCTTGCCCACTTTATGTCCCGAAACTTGGGATTTCAAGTCTACTTATCATTTTCGGTGGAGGAGGCAAATTTTACATCCACGGACAATTTTTTCTGAGCCTTAACGGAGCAAACACACTCGAAATACAGCTTCGTTCATTCTTCCCAAACTCGTATTCGAATTTTTTGCCATGGGAGTAGTATAGGAGGCAATTCTCAACTGCTTCGCGACTTTCAAAATCGTTGTCCTCACCGCCGGGTTAAACAGCTTGTGTGTCCAAGCAGGAATCCTGCTCTGATCTGCTAATCATGTCATGCAATCCGTCATGACATCCATCCTTCAGGAAGGATTGTCATTGGATTCTTATCTGGAACAGCTTGTTGTGCAACAAGCCGCGGGACTGAGTCTACACGTTTTTTGATTTCAAACTGCACCAAATAATCAGAAGTATCAACAGATAATAGGCAAAACTAATAAAGCAAAAACCGACAATTGCTTGCTGGTTAGATATCAATTAGAACTAGAAAGAACTAACAATCTATAACCATTAGAGCTAACAGTGGCATTGATTAGAACTGACATAATAGCTATTAGAACAATACAATACTAGGCCATTAAAAAGTTAGTTGCTAATTTAACGGAAGTATTTTAATTTTTATATAACAAGACTATTCAAAATTATAACAATGTCAGTCCTCTATTCTCGTAGAGTGTTAGTTTCTAATTGCAGCTAGTGTTAGTTTAGTTCTGTAGAGTGTCTAGATCTAATCTGGGCACAGTGTTACGTTCTAATCTGGCACAGTGTTAAGTTCTATTCTGTAGAGTGTTAGTTCTAATCTGGCACAGTGTTAGTTTCTATTCTGCTAGCGGGTGTTTAGTTCTAATAATCTGGCACAATTTTAGTTCTATCTGTAGAGATGTTAGTTCTAATGCCCTAACAGTGTTTAGTTCTATTCGGTAGCGGTGTAGTTCTAATAATATGCACAGTGTTACGTTCTAATTCTGTAGTGTGTTAGTGTCAGTTCTAACTGATTGGCTGTGTTCAGTTCTATTTTATACCATAATCTGTCTACATTTATAGCCACGCTTAATTTATACCACAGTTATATCTAATTTATAACAATTAGGAACTAACAATATGGACTATAGTGGTAAAGCGCGCAATAAATTAGTAGAACTAACAAAATTAGCGTTAGAAGCTACAAATAAAACATTAGAACTCTAGTCATGGAGCAATAACAAAGACTGCTTAATGACAAATAAAACATTAAACTGAAGTCGCAGTTAAACCTAGTATAGAATAACAATGAAGCCGATTAGAAGCTTAAGTTAATGTGGATTTTGACAGTTTAACGCTAGCAGGTTGTCTTGTCGGGATTGGCTCGTTTTTCCCCTGTTTAATCGAGAATCAATCTCCTTCTATTAAAAGCGCTTCGCACGTGAACCTCTTTCAGTCCAAGAATTGTGGTGTCCACCGATACGACGCATCAGATCACATCGTTCTCAATGAGCTAAATTTTACAAGCGCATCCCCACTCGCTTTGATCTTCGTTGCCAAATTAATGACTCGTATGGAAGATCTAACCTCTCTGGCCGCATCAAACTTGAAGATCCAAGATGGCTGGTTGATAGATTAAGTTTTCAAGAATACCGGCTTTATACTGCGGAAGAGCAATGCAGATGATGTCCTTATTCAGCCATTTTGGATCTGCGGAGGAGGAGTAATAATGGAGACTAACTAGTTATTGCTCATGATGGAGAGAGTTATGGAGACGAATTTTGGTCTGAGGGGAGGAGTATGAGAGATAACTAGTTAGATGGAGTAAAAAAGGGGGAATTTCCCTCGCATTCTTCACCATCATATGCATTAATGAGAAGTGACTCCAGGACTGCGTCTGGGGAGAAAGAGAAGGGCAGTTTCGGTTTTTGTAAAATACCATCTGGCTTTTAGTATACAAGCTGACGTGGAGGGGGACTTTAAACATTATAAGCCCATTTTTTGTGGGCTATTCCAATGGGGC